GGCTCTCATTTTCTTTCTGTTGAATGAATGCATCAGCCCGAGCCCACCCAGGCTGAGCAAGCTTTGCAATGTGTGGGCAGTATTTTGTTTTCCAAGTCAAGAGGCCAAGGGGGCAGATGAACGGGCGTGTTTGCGTCAGTTGTTTTCACCCTTAGATGGCGAGGCACCCTCGGCTCACCCCTGTCGGTCAGAGCTGGAGCTCTGCGGAGTGGTCCTGCCGTCCTCTGCCTCGGCCGGACAGCAGGGCTGGACGCTGAGGGTGGGAGCTGAGGTGCACAGTGATGGGGCAGGCATCCTTGGCTGTCTGGGGCTAGACACTGAACCTCCAAAAGGGGTTAATGTCTTTCAAGTTTGACTTTTGTCCAGGCCGAAAAGTGACCTCATCTTATGGAAAACGGAGGATTGAAGTGGTGATACTAGACTCATTTATGATCCTAGATACACTGCAAGAAATGAAAGATGCTGACTGCTTAATGAATTCCCCTACCTTTCATCCCCTGCACGCCCAGGCTCTTGTGTCCCCCAGCACTTCTCAAGGTCTCCAGTGCTGTCTCTTTCAGGGGGTGCCACTGATTCTTCTGTTTTCCCAGCCGCCTCCAGCCCCAGCCCGAGGGGACGCCTCCCTCCTCGGCTCTTCCTCCACCCCAGACCCTGTGCTCTCTTAGGGTGCCCGCCACATTCTGCCTCCTCTTAGGGTTCTTTATAAGGATGTTTTCCCCTTCTCCTCTTTTAGACCGTAAGCTTTTAGGGGCCGTGACTGTGTCTAATTTATCCTTGACACTCAGAATCCCTGGGAACAATGCCAGGCACATTAAAAGGGGTCAGTGCTTATTTGTTCAATGCGTTTATGAATTAACGAAGAAGTAAACAAGCATGACTCTCCCAGGTATCAAGACCTTTGGGGTCTTCAGACTCTGGTCTCTAATATTTTGCTTTCTTTTCTCTTTTCCCTCGTCTTTCTAAGTCTCAGGCACTTACACGTCTCTCCACCTCCATCTATCCTGCACACACCACAGCCACCCGTGGGATGCACTTCTGAAGTCTGCTTTCAGAAGCAGAAAGCTGTCAGATGTGCGGTGTTTGCTGTGTGTACCGTGGTCACAGCTAAAATGTAGTTAAGAAACACTTATGCGGCATTTATTGTGTGCCAGGTACTGATCTAAGAGCTTGATATGTATTAACTAACTTAATCTTCATAACAGCCCTGTGGGACAGGTGATGGGCATTCTTAGAAATTTAACCCTCTGGGAGACTCTCTGGCTCAAGGTCGTGGCTTACTTCTCCAGGGTCTAAGATCATGCCTGTGACCAGACTCTTAAGCAAGGAAAACATGATCCTGACATGCAGTATGTTAAGTGTGGTCACACATTGTAAGGAATCCTGACCTCATTACCAGGAGATGCAGCTCTGCTGTTTCCTGTCTCTGTACACTTGGACACGTCCCTGAACCTCTGGGTCCCAGGTAATAAGAGAATGTGTCTCAACAGTCCTGCAGCAAAGATGCCGTGAGATAACGTTACCACGGTTGGCACCCAGGAACTATTGAGTTGTCGTAAATGAATGGTTTAAAAAATATTGTTTGGCAAACTTTGCACATCTATAGTTAGCTGATAGAGGGTTGGAGCTGTGCGGTTTCTCAGGTATAGGTTTGAGAAATGCCGGTTCTAGGGACAGACATTACATAAGGATGTGAAGTTATGTTTTCACCCAAGTCAGGGCTGTAAGGTATTGTGGAAGCCGCCAGACTCCCAAGATGTCTGCATCACCATAATGCTCCTCTGCTCTGCTATGAATTTGCATATGGTCTCCTGCCAACTTTTCTTCTTAAAACCCAATCCCAAATCCTCTCTGCATTATGTTCCTTAGAGCAATGCTTTGCATAAGAGTCTATTTCTTGGAAAGGCTCAACAGGGGAAAAATAGAACAAAAGGGGCCCTGATCACTTAAGCATAAGCGATCTGAGTGGAACTGGCCGGGTAGGGGGAGATGAGGGAGTGGGGCTGGTGTGAGGGCACACACCTTTAGATGAGGCGAAGGTGTGCAGACTCCCCAGTGGTGGGCTGAAATCTCCTGTGAAGATGGCCCAAGACCTGACAGATCTGGGAAGAGCTTTATGAATGAGGGAAATAGGCTAAGTGCTTCTCCATCTTTGCCACTCACATCTCTCCATCTTGGTACAAACTCCCATGGCCTGCCTGGTCTGGGGGGAGCATGGCAACCTTGTTTCCTTCCTTTTCCAGAGGATGCTGGAGGGACCCCCTACCAGTCAGCTTCTCTCTTGCTTGCACTTTGAATGGTGCCCTGGAGTAGAGGAGTTGCGGGGTTAATGCTTTGGAATTGGACTATCTGTGTGGGATTCATACACCAGGAAAGTTTTTCACTTGCTTCCTTGGATCCTTTTGGGTTTCTAGTTTTCAGGTCACTTCTTGCAGGAAAACATGTAGACCTTTTGGCTGCACCATCTTAACTCGTGTGTGTGTGTGTGTGTGTATGTGTACCTTGTACTCACATGCCCAGTGTGTGGGGCTGCACGTTTCAAGTACTGTGAGATGGCTGATTGCATTGTTGGTGAAATTTGGGGCTTGGGCCTCAACAAAGTACCACAGGAGTAGAGGGCTAGTGACAAGAGCTCCCGTCTAGGAATGTCTAGGCTCTGAGGTGTGGTGCCCGAGGTGCTAGGCTGCCAAGTACCTGAGCTCACAGGGATATGCTCACAAATGACCAGTAGATGGTGCTCTAACAACATGAAAATATGGCTGCTCTCCCTCCTGGGCTGGAAAGGGGTTTTAGGAAACCGGTTTCCAATCAGAATTATGACCAATTGATGATTTTTTTTTTTTTTTTTTTTTTTTGCGGTACGCGGGCCTCTCACTGCCGTGGCCTCTCCCGTTGCGGAGCACAAGCTCCGGACGCGCAGGCCCAGCGGCCATGGCTCACGGGCCCACCCGCTCCGCGGCATGTGGGATCTTCCTGGACCGGGGCACGAACCCGTGTCCCCTGCATCGGCAGGCGGACTCCCAACCACTGCGCCACCAGGGAAGCCCCAATTGCTGATTTTTTATATTTCCATTTGTGGGTCTTTAAGAGGACACTGGAACTAGGGACATGGCAAGTTCCCCTTACAAAGAGCATTACGGCAGTGACCTAATCTGAAGTTTTTTCTAAGGATCCTCCCGGATCTTGAGGGCAGTACATGTGTTCCCAGTTAAGCGTCTTCCCAGCGTGGTCCCAGGAGCATTTGGCCACTGATCAGGTTCAATTTGAGGATGGTAAGCCCAGCATTCCCATAGGCTTAGCGTGATCGCATAGTTTCTTCTCTGGATGTTGAACAATTTGGGATCACACTATTACTGCCCCTGAGAAATTAGCCTGGGTATTGGAAAAAGCCATCAAGTGAAAGATCTGTTAGAAGTCTAAAATCTGCCTCTTATCAGATGTGGACAAACTACTTAACATTTCTGAAACTCTTAATTCGTTCACCACATCAGGGTTGTAATACATGTGTTGCCAGGCTGACGTCAGAGGTTTGGAGTTAGATTTACATAAAGTGAAAACTATTGAAGACACGTAAGATATTGTTCAGCCATTAAAATTGTAGCCCTCTGGGGACTGGGAGAATGGGGGCATCGGAAAGCATGAAAGAAGTTCACAGATCTCAAAGGGCTCAGGAGCTGTGACAGCCAGGTGGGGGTGAACGTGAGAGTGTGCTTTCTTCCCAGCATTACTGTCCTCAGGCCAAGTCCATTCCCAAAGCCATTTGTGCCATCACGTTTGCCTTTGTCCTCTTGGGCTCCACCCTCTAGGAATTCCCAGTTTTTAACTCCCCTACAGAGGCTTTCACGCTCCCCAGCACACTTCACATCATCCCCAACACATGCATTTGTGATCCCTGCCTCCTGAGAAGGTAGGAAGGTAAGCCTCAACTGCAGTGGGTCCTCACATTTCCGTGAATAACCTCCTGTCTTGGGAATTCTAGGTCCGTAGAATTACAGCAGCAACCGAGAACACAGGACATTGTAGAGAGAGCAAAAGGAATTAGTACTGGATCTCTGCTTAGTAGGTGACATTGAAGACACAAGCCAAGGGTTCCTGATCTTCCATGAACTTCTTCCAGGAGGTAATGGGCTGGTGAGCCCTGCTTCCTCTGAGAATGAACAGGCATGCCACCCTCTAGCCTGCAAAGGCCGGGACACGAAGCAGAGGGATGAAGTTGCAGCATGAGAATGAGGTCCATCTAGCATTCTAGCCAGTAAAGTTATACAATCTAATTTAATCCCAGAAGCGTATACTTTATTTTTATCATCATCTATTTTGTCCATGATTGTGATCTCAGTTCCTAAAACAGTGCCTAGGGCTCAGAAATATTTGTCAAATGATTTGAATGAGTTTTGTGCTATGGGTTATGGTCCTACCTCTGAAAGCATGGATTTGATCATTTCCGAAAGTCTTTTCTAATCCTGTATGGTTTACAGGGCTACTGAGAGAGCCACTTGTGACGGGTTCTAAATGACTGACAGCTGACGGGACTTTGGGTCCATAGTATCGCCTTCCCTTTCACTCTGACTAGGCGTTCAGGCAGAAAAGGACCCTCCAATTGAGGTAGGTAGAAGGACTGAGTAAGGCAGTAATGGGAAAGCAAAATACTCTGACTCACCTCGAATAGTAATTTGGCTTAAAATGGGCCTTCCTGAATCAAAAGGTCAACACGCCATGCCCAAGGGCAGCAGCGCCTGCTAGGGGAGGACGCGTTGAGACCATTCCTTTTGTTTTCCAGCACCAGAGACTTTCCCTTCACACAGACACACACTCACATACATTCTCACACAGCAGACCCGTGTCAGTGCTCACATGGCCTTGTCCAGCACACACACACATCCACCGAGGAACACATGTGCCTCTCACTCAGATGTCACCTCTCTTCTCACCAGTTAATCTCACACACAGACACTGCCTTCCACACCCGCGAATCCACACTCACCCATGATTTCCAGCCTCCGGGCTATGGTCAGTCCTTTGTTTCCTTCCTCTGTCCCCACCCCCACCTCGTCTCTTCCATGGCTCAGGTGGGGAGGATTTGGATAGGGCTGTGCGTTCAAGTCAAAGCAGGGGGGCAGCTGGTACCTATCTTCAGTTCAAACCACTGACTCACCTGTGCGCAAGGGCTTGGTTGCTAAACCCAGGGACTCGTTCTCTGGGGCGTGAAGTCCACCATTCCCGCTTCTGCAGCTCAGACGCTAATTCTATTTTTTCTTCATTCTTGGGGTGTGTTTGAGGAAGTCAGTGGAGAGGACTTGGGAGTAAAAGATAGGGGTGGGAGGATCCCCCTGCTTGAGAAGGTCGTTTTAGCCTAGAACTCACTACCTCGGAACTCAGTATCCCAGAGATACAGGGCTCTATTAGAGCCAAACCCAAGAGGTCGTCCCAGATCGCTTTTAGAGAGGGGCGGGGTGCAGAAGCTCCCGCCAGAGCTGGCTCCAACACCAGAGTGCGGAGCCCCCAGAGGTCCTAGCGTCCCTCGTGGGACCTCCAGGCTGCTAAGTGGGGACATGGGCAGAAGAGGGTGCTGCCTTCTCTGCGGAAACCCTGGGGCAGCGCTCTCGGAGCCTGGGAGGTGCGGAGGCGCGGCGACCCGGCCCCGGCGCAGGGCGCGTAGAGCGCAAAGGCTTCGACTCCCGGCTAGGGCGGCGGCGCGCCGGTCACTGCGCGGGGCACAGCCCCGGCGGGCGCCTCTCGGCGGGGACAGGAGGCGCGAGAGCGTGCGCGCGTGCGTGTGCGCCCCCGCCAGGCCTCGGCTCTCAGGCGGAGACTCCGCCGCGCCGCCAGCTGCGCCAGCCTGTTTCCTCTCAGCAGTACTTGGGGAAAGGCGATTCTTGCCTGGATCTTTGCAGAGGGGGCCCGCTACCCTCTGGCTACATCGATCAGTAGCCCAAGCCAGCCTCGGGTCCCAGGAACCTCCTGCAGCGGTTGGCCGGGTCCTTCCGGCTCCATCCCCGCCCCGCCCTAGCTCGCCAGGCCCGCCCCCGCTTCTTCTGGCTCTTCAGTACGCGCCTGACTGCGCCTCTGCGCTCCGTTCGCTCTCCCCCTCCTGGCCTCGCGCTTCTTCTCTGCTCCTCGGAGTGGGGCTGCCAGGGTGGAAGAGGAAGACTGAGTCGGTAGTGAGCAAGTTCGGTCCTTGGACAACTCCCGTGCCAGGCTACCGCTGGGCTCAGCTGCAACCTGTTCCTCCCTCGCCCAAGTGCTCGCTCGCCCGCCCGCCCGCTCGCTCCCGCTCTCCCGCCCTCTCACCGGCGCAGCCGCGGATCGCTGTTGCATGCTGATCCGGAGAGGCGGCGGCGGCGGCGGCGGCGGCGAGCGCTCCGGGCGGATGCTGGCACTCGGGCTTCGCGGCTCTCTGGATGCTGCTCAACTTCTCTCCCAAGCGCAGGAGCTTTGAAGTCATTTGTCCCTCTCCGGTTGGATCGACTTCTTATTTTGATATTTTGGGCGTTGCGGTTTACGCAGCAACCTCAATACCGCTCTCCCCCTTCTCTCCCTTTCTGTCTCTCAACCTTTGGATGCGTCTGTGCTGGCAGATTTAAAGACCCAAGTCTTGGCTGTGGGATTTCTCAGATGGACTTGCGGGGGCTGGCGTTATAAAGCATGTCACCATAACCTCGTCCTTGTCTTTTTTTTTTTTTGAAAAGTTCTTTTGTTTTCATTTTTCCCCTCCCCCCACCAATAAATTACCAAACTGTTACCTAGCGGGCCGGTGCCTGCCTCTCTCCCAGAACTAGGTGGTGCGTCTGCCAGAAGAGGAGCTATGTTTGAAGAGCAGCCTACTCCACCCGTCTCCTCTCCAGTCCCTGAACGCCACCACACACTGGCATTTTGAAAAAAAAAAAAAAAAATTGCCTCCAGAAACTGAGCACACCCAAGCTCTTCCCCCCTTTTTTTCCTCCTTGAGGAATGGAGCTTCGCAGAGGTTGTATTTAGATTCAACAGTTCAGAGCGGCGGGGTTGCAGCTGCCGCCTTTCCGAAGAGCTCGCGAGGCTCCCCGGAGGCGGTGGTCCCCGTGTCCGTCTGGATGCGGCTCTGAGACTCCGTGTGTCTTTCTGCTTGTTGCTGTGTGCGGGTGTTCGGCCACGATCACCTTTGTGTGTATTCTGTCTGTTTAAACTTCAGGATGGCTCGCTTCGGGGAGGCGGTGGTCGGCAGGCCGGGGTCGGGAGATGGAGATTCGGACCAGAGCAGGAACCGGCAAGGAACCCCCGTACCGGCCTCCGGGCCGGCGGCCGCCTACAAGCAGTCGAAAGCGCAGAGGGCGCGGACTATGGCTTTGTACAACCCCATTCCCGTCCGACAGAACTGTTTCACCGTCAACAGATCCCTGTTCATCTTCGGAGAAGATAACATTGTCAGGAAATACGCCAAGAAGCTCATCGATTGGCCATATCCTTTCTTGCCCACCATCGCTCCCCTCTCCCCCCTTTGCATTTCTTCGGGTAAGGGGGGAAACGTAGCATGGAGTTTGCACCCCCATTCCTTTCCTGGTGCCGATTTGCCTCTTTGCTGAAGTGCACTCTGTACTTTGGTGCACCTAAGAGGCAAGCTTGGTGCTGTAGAAACCGATGTGGGCACTAGTGTTTTGCAAGGTAAGACTTTTGGTTTTTGATATTTCCTACGTGGAAGTCTCCAGCATCCCTGGGTGCGTGGTGTTGTGGTGTCTGCCCCTTTCGTGGCTGGGCTTTATTCGATTCTCAGCCCCCTAGTCCCTTCACAAGCTGCATAGAATGGGTTGCCCCTAATATCTGGGTTTTCTTTCATACTCAGCCCCCCTTTTCCCTCCCTTTAAGCCATCCCCTTTGCCCCCATCCCCACCAGCCGGGAAGACACCTACACTATCAGCTTGTAGGAAAGTCAAGACTCCATGAGGGGATTTATCAGTTCAGAAGCTTCAAGAGCTCTGAGCCAAAACCCTGTAGACAAGTTGACAAATGGATAAATAACGCAGGCGTTTGGCTTGGGACCCAGCTAACTCTGCTGGGGACTGAGTTTAAGTTCCACTGGAAGTGGAGTGAATGAGTGTGTCAGGGGAGGCAATCTCTAATGACACAGCCCAGACAACGCAGAGTTCAGGCTCTCTTCTCAGCCATGAAAGAGCAGCTCATCAGGGCCCATCCTTTCCTTAGTCCTGGGTTGGGTATCAGCGGAGTGCTCTCCTAGTGCCCAGGATCCAGGCAGATCTGCTGGGCCTGCATTCGTCAGCGGGGTGCTGCGTCAGCTGAGCCCAGAGGTGTGCAAGCAGTCTGTCTCTCCCTAGATCCAGAGGAACTGCTCTCCACAGAGAGCTGGTGGGGGGACTCTCTGATGGTAACGGTGTCGGGGTGAACGGGCATAGAGAGCGGTTCTTTGCAGGTTTGATGAAGTGCACCAAATGTGGGCTGCTGACTAGGCATCTCACTGCCTCTTTCTTCACGAAGAATATGGGCGTCTGGCAAGGTCTCTAGGAATTGGGGGTTGCTGGATGGTGAGGGGGATGAGTAGGGAGCAAGCCCGTGGGATGGTGTTATACGTGGGGGTAGGCTTGGAGACATGGGACTTTGATGCTTGTGGAGAGAGATTTCTTGGGAGGGATGCACCTGCAAAAGAGGCCACTCCTCTTCTTCCCCATCCTCCCTCCCCCCCTCCCCCACCCTCCAGGTGTGCAGCAGGGAGACAGCTGGAGCCACGTTGGGTCTCTAGTAGCAGCGAGGCTCCTGGCTCACTCCCCTCGGGGTCTGGGCATCTCCCTGCTACTCCCACCCTCGTCTCTGGCCTTCCCCTCTTTCCTCCCTAGTTCCCTGCCTCAGCAGCATGGCGATTGGCTGGCTCGTGGTGCTTCTAGGCAGTACCCCTCATTAGAAACGGAGGAGCATCTCTAGGCAGATATTCTTCCTGCTGCTGCTCGAACCCTCCCACAGCCCCCGCTGGCTGGGCTTCTTCTCTCCTTCTCCCTGCACTCCCCTCCCTCTCCTACCCGCACGGAGTGATCCTGGGGCCAAACAGTACCAGAGTTAAACCTACCTAGGGTGAGGGGGACTGGGGAGGGGGAAGGGTCCGGTCCCTGCAGTCCCGCCTGCCGGTGAGCTGCACAAAGCGACAGCTCTCATTGTGTTTCCGTGCTGCGGCTGCGAACGCTGCTCTAGTCAGGTCCCCAGAGATTTCTTCAGCGGCACCCCCTTCCCCGCCCGCCTATCTTCTACAATTCTCCAAAATTTCCCACCCGCCAGGTGCTGCCTCTCTGAGGGGCCTGTTTACCTAGACAGGCGCCCTCCCGTTTCCCGGCGGTAGACAAAGCCGCCCAGCCGCCGCGCGGGTGGCAGAGTGTGCCCGCAGCCAGCGTTGGTACCTCGGACAGCGCCACCGAAACTGCCCCGCGGCCTGGGCGCCACCGTCCCCGGGGTTCAGCACCTCGGGCACTTCCGGCCGGGCCCAGGCTCCCGGGAGGGGAAATTAAGCACGTTTCCTACACCACGCGTTCGCCGCTTTTCACGTTTTCTCTTCCGCTGCAAAAACGCCGCCTAGAATAGCAGGAGTTGCGAGCGGCGCAAGGTGCGACTGTGGGTTTCACTGCGCTCTTTCCTTGTCTTCGGCCAGAATGCGCCAAAGAGACTCAAAGGAGAGACTAGGGAGTTGACTTCGGCATCCTACTCAGTGCCTTGGCCTTGAGCCCCGTCCCAGTGGTCTCTTCCATCCCCATAGTTGGAAGTTTCACAGTGCTTCTACAGCATGTAGGCTGTTAGTGTTTGGAGAGCATCTGCTAAGGTGTGTAGTGGAGACCTGTTCGCAAATTTAAAACACACCATGTTTGCTGTTTATTCCTGGCTGTACAATGTAATTGACTAATATATATTCCCTCTGGTGGTGACCATGTGGACACATTGCGCTTCTGTGGGTTCTGCGTTTGCTCTAATACCGCATATAAGTTCCTAGTCTCACCTCTCTTCTTTTCTAATTCCTTTCTGGAATTATATTCCTTTTTCTTACTGGGAGTCAGTGTGAGCACTGGTTACCAGTAAAGCTTGGGAGCTAAGCTCTCTGGGTTCAAATCTCAGTTCCTTCACCAGCTCTGTGACCTTGAAAAGTTACTTCATTTCTCTGTGACTCAGTTTCCTTATCTGTAAAATAAGGATGGTAATAATGAGTTACTGGGAGAATTAAATGAATTAATATATGTCAGGTTCCTAGAACACCGCCTAATTCCCTGTAAACACTAGCTATTATTATTAATAGAGTCCTTCAGAAATTTCAGCATACCAGAAGGGAGGGATCTTAGTTCTAGGTGAACGAAGTCTTCTAGGCTTTTGTCTCCCACAGACAGCAAAGACCAGCATCACCTGGAGGCTTGTTAAAAATTCAGAATCCCAGATACAGAGAAGAAACCAGTGGTTTCCACAAGGGAGAGGGGCAGGGGGAGGGGCAAAATAGGTGAAGGGGCTTAAGAGGTACAAACCAGCAGTTATAGTATAAACAAGTCACAGGGATGTAATGTACAGCACAGGGACTATAGTCTATGTTTTATAATAACTTTATGTGGCATGTAATCTATAAAAATATCGAATCACTATGTTGTGTACCTGAAACTAATATAATATTGTAAATCAATTATACTTCAATTAAAAAAAATTCAGAATCCTGAGCCACACTTCAGATTTACTAAATCAGAATCTGCATTTTAATAAGATCCTCAGGCGATTAGTATGCCTGTTCGCGTCTGGCAAGTACTTCTGTGCTCTACGTAAGGGCCAGATTTTCACAGAAAGGAAGGTTCAGGACACATGTCAAGACTTGTTTTGAACTGTCATGTTCACATGCAACGTGCTTGAGGATTTTGATTATTCATGTAGTACACTTTTTGAGATGTATACATCTTTTCTTGGCTGCAAAAAGTCACTGTAGAACTAGGGGGATAATATGTACTTCTGTGTGCCGTGTTAGTGGTCTCTGAACACCACGTAATACTGGTCTTTACTCAGATTAGCCTGAAAAGATCAGTTAAACAGAAGGAATGATTTAATTTAGACTTGCCACTCTCTGACTTGGTTGGGGGTGGTGATAACCTCGTCCAGTTGTTAACAGGGAAGATCTCGTTCTTATGGGAAGAAATGCATAGGATAACCTAGATTTGGCAAGAACTGCTGGTGGCAAGTCAACAGCCCACTCTGAATGTGTTTCATTTTTCTTGGAAGCTACGTCTGCACAGGGAGATAATTTTATTTTCTTATGGCATTCTCTGCTGCAGTGGATGCCATAACCTTTTTGAAAATGCTAATCTGATTTAAAATGTGGTATCACATTTTATATGATTCCTCTTTTTCTTTTTTGCTCATCTAATAGATCTAACAAAAGGGTTCTCTTTTTCTCAGGGAATTGGCTGCTGTGAATGTCACCCCGTATTCACTGTGTCATAAGCTTACTGGCTCTAACCCTTCTGTGCCCAGGCCCAGTTGCCCTCATGGTTTGTGAGATGTTCCCCACACGTTTGCACTTTTCCAGGTTAGAGGATGAAGGGAAGAAATGGCATGTCTGACTTTGTGCCATTGATGGGCAGTGGGAGATTTCTCCCCCACTGATGGTGTGGGTTACCTCAGAAGGGGAGCACATGTTTCATGTGGAAATGAACATGGTTTAAAGTAGGAAGATCAAATGTGTTTGTAGCCACTGAGCTGATGAAGCTCATTATAATGAACCTGTGGATATTCATTCGTGATTTTTTGTTTCAGAGAATTTCTTTATAGCCCCAAAGGGCTCTGGCTTTGAGTCAGAGGTTATGTGCTTTATTGTGGAGAATTTCCCGTTGTCAATTATCCATTATTTTTGGAGGGTTTTGCTGAAGATTACTGAAAGCTTTAGTTCCCCAATCTCCCA